ATTTCAGTGTAAAAAAATCACTACGAAGAATATTTATTTTACACTAAAAATTATAGGAAAAGTCTGGAAGGAGATCTTGCCATTTGCAACAACATAGATGGAACTTGAAGGCATTATGGGAAGCAAAATAACTGAGACAAAAACGACAAATACCATCTGATTTCACTTTTTTGTAGAATCTAAAAATTAAAAAAAAGAAAAGAAACTGATGTAATGTACAAGATGGTGACTACAGTTAATAATACTGCATTGTATATTTGAAAATTACCAAGAGAGTAGACTGATGTTAAAGCTGCCACCTGATGTGAAGAGCCGACTCACTGGAAAAGACGCTGATGCTGGGAAATACTGAGGGCAGGAGGAGAAGGGGATGACAGAGGACGAGATGGTTGGATGGCATCACTGACTCAATGGACATGAGTTTGAGCAAGCTCTGGGAGATGGTAAAGGACAAGGAAGCCTGGCATGCTGCAGTCCATGGGGTTGAAAAGAGTTGGACATGACTGAGCGACTGAACAACAACAATGAGAGTAGATCTTAAAATTTCTCATTACAAGAAAAAGAAAGTCATTATTGTTTGTATGGTGATGGATGTCAACTAGGTTTGCTATGGTTATCATTTCTCAATTATATATATTTGTATATAATACCAAATCATTGTGTATACCTGAAACTAATATAATGCTACATGGTAATCATAAAATTCACTGCAGATGGTGACTGCAGCCATAAAATTAAAAGATGCTTGCTCCTTGGAAGAAAAGTTATGACCAACCTAGACAGCATATTAAAAAGCAGAGACATTACATTGCCAACAAAGGTGTATTGAGTCAAAGGTATGGTTTTTCCAGTAGTCATGTATGGATGTCAAGAGTTGGACCATAAGGAAAGGTGAGCACTGAAAAATCGATGGTTTTTGGAGTAGATTCTTGAGAGTCCCTTAGACTGCAAGGAAATCAAACCAGTCAATCCTAAAGGAAATCAGTCCTTAATACTCATTGGAAGGACTGATGCTGAAGCTGAAGCTCCAATACTTTGGCCACCTGATGTGAAGAACTGGCTCATTGGAAAAGACCCTGATGTTGGGAAAGATTGAGGGCAGGAGAAGTGGATGATAGGATGAGATGGTTGGATGGCATCACCGACTCCATGGACATGAGTTTGATCAAGCTCTGGGAGCTGGAGATGGACAGGGAAGCCTGGCATGCTGCAGTCCTTGGGGTCAAAAAGAGTCAGACATGACTGAGTGATTGAACTGAACTGAACTATCTCATTTTTTTAAAAAACTGTCTGACATAGTTCAGGGATGTGCTTATGTACCCTGAATGGTAGCAATTTTATTCCAATTAATATTAATTGTATATTAATTATCATTATGTCAATGTTTATACCAGCATACTATTGTATGTTGATTTATATTTTAAAATAATTTAAATGTTATTATAAAATATGATAATTTATCTCTTAAGAAAAAAAAGCATAGCTGAAGAAGTTAACCACTCTAAGCTTCAATTTCCTCAAATATAAAAAGCATAATACTTATTTCACAGGCTTGTTAAGAATTGACTGGGATTAAGTATATAAAGTCCCTGGAATAAACTGAGGGCTAATAAAGATGCTTATCATGATGACTGTCATCCTCACAACATCATAATCATCTATCAGCACTGCTGCTACCATTATCATTGTCATCCTCGGGTCATAACCACCATTCAGCACAGCCCCTACCACTGGCATCCGCCCTGATGCACAATCAATGGGTCACAGAGTGCACCTGACAAATTACTCTGGGAAATGACCTCACTATTTGGTTCACCTTTGATGAGCACAAGCCACATTTTCAGAGTCACTGTCATCGCCCTAGGCAGACAGCAGTCCCAGCCTTGAATGTTCTCCAGGATGTGAGCAGACATCCTGGAGCCTAGCTCCTGCTCTGCTGCTTAGAACCCAAGCTGGCCTTGCTTGAAAGTGAAAGTGAAAGTTGCTCAGTCATGTCCGACCCTTTGAGATCCCGTGGATTATACAGTCCATGGAATTCTCTAGGCCAGAATACTAGAGTGGGTAGCCTTTCCCTTCTCCAGGTGAACTTTCCAACCCAGGGATCAAACCCAGGTCTCCCGCATTGCAGGCAGACTCTTTACTAGCTGCGCCAAAAGGGAAGCCCTTGCTTAGAAGACTGAAAATGATCACAGCTAGGCCTTTCTCCACATCACTGCAAGGAGCGCCAACCACCGTCCGCAATTCTTATGCTTTTGCCATAATCTGTGTCCTCCTTTCTCTGGGTCATTCAAAGACCAGCTACTGAATCAGTGGCACAGGCCCAGCAAATGAAGAGCCTGACAGGAGAGGGAGGAAGGAAAAGTATATTGCACTATAATCACCACCACGCACCCACTCCTTCCCCCTACCCCCCACTCCTTCCCTCCATCCCCAGCACACATCGCTGGCCCCACACAGAGCTGGCTGAGGAGGGGGGGGCAGAAGTGGGGCTGACGGGCTGCACCTTCACCAAGAATGTCACTAGAATGTTGCTCCTATCCCAGGTTGCAGAGGAGGAAGGAAGGGAGGAAGATGGGTCTGAAGCTGAGCACTCATTATGTGTGTTCCTCCACCAGGCACCCCACCCAGGGAACCCCACCAGGAGGGTGGCTTGAAGGGCTCCACCCTCCAGAGTGCTGCCTCTCTACAGCAATCTAACAGTGGACAAGGGGATGTGAAGTGGGGGTGAAGGGCTGTACCACCATTAAGCACGCCCTTACACTGTGGGATTGGCCCAGGGTCGACTATAGTGCAAGAAGGAAAAGGAGAGTAGGCCCACGGCCTTCGCGTGGACCCCACCCAGGGCTAACAAAGAGGACTGAAGAGCTCTGCCTGCATTAACCAAGCCCCTTACTGCTATCCCAGCCAGAGCTTACTGCAAAGGGGAAAAGGCCATGGAAACGCTATAACTGTCATACCTGTGTCTCTGGTCCCTGCCTGAGATGACGACTCTGCAGCCGAGCATTTTGTCCATTTTCTGACCTCAGAAGATTCGTGTTCCTTAGTTTTACAAGTAAAACATTTGCATTGAGCTGGGAACTGCTCAGAGTCATCACAAATAAGTGTTCACCCTGCGTGTTGTCCACACCCCACTGACTTTTATTTATGTGGCAGGCCTGAGCTGTGGTTACCAGGTACCTTGGTTCCTGGAGCACTGCCAGGCTGGCCTTGAAGCCCTGCACCTGGCCATTCAGGCCTGCTCCTGTCCTGCTCCAGGGCACCCTCTACATTTCACAGTTGAGAAGGTGGGTGTCGGCCCAGTGTAGAGAAGTCCCTAGACATTTAGTTTGGGTACCCTGTCAAAACTATGATTTTTCCAGTAGTCATGTATGGATATGAGAGTTGGACTATAAAGAAAGCTGAGCACCAAAGAATTGATACTTTTGAACTGTGGTGATGGAGAAGACTCTTAGAGTCCCTTGGACTGCAAGGAGATCCAACCAGTCCATCCTAAAGGAGATCAGTCCAGGGTGTTCATTGGAAGGACTGATGCTGAAGCTGAAACTCCAATACTTTGGCCACCTGATGCAAAGAACTGACTTATTTGAAAAGACCCTGATGCTGAGAAAAGTTGAAGGCAGGAGGAGAAGGGGACGACAGAGGATGAGATGGTTGGATGGCATCACCAATTCAATGGACATGAGTCTGAGTCCACTCTGGGAGTTGGCGATGGACAGGGAGGCCTGGCATGCTGCAGTCCAAGGGGTTGCAAAGAGTCGGACATGACTGAGAGACTGAACTGAACTGACCCTGTCTGCCAGATAGGGCTCTAATTACCAGCTTGTGTGCTTCCAAAGTTCTGCTCTCTGTAAAGAACATTTAAGGACACTGTTTGGAAATCACATTTAAATTCCTCAAGTAGGATATGGGAAACCTAGGAATAAATTTTTCAACGACTATAATGATAAAACACTATGTGATTCACCACGAATGTGACTTTCCCGTGTGATGAATCCGTGCCGATCGCTCATTCCTTTGTCGTCTGGCACAGGTAGATCTCTACGGGTCGGTACCTATAAAGGAGCAACTGCCTGCGGGTGGGTTGTGAGCACAGGAGGCGGGGCGGGTTCTTCTTACCGCAGCGGCCGGGTGTCTGCAGCGGGAGGCAGTGCAGGGCCCCAAAGACGCACCTGCAGAGGTGGCAGCCGCGGAAGGTCCAGGCTCCGTGCACCAGGGCGCCGCACTTGCTGAGGAAGCCCAGGCCTGGCGTTAGTGCAGGCGGCGCGCGCACCCCCGGCCCCGCCCCGCGAGGTCCCGCCGCCGCCGCCGCCNAAAAATAACCAGTTAAAAGCCAAAGCCAAGTTTTACCAATAAAATATTAAAACTTTTTTCAGAGTAAAAGAACACCTCACTAGGAAATATCTTTTACTTTATCAATCTGTCAGTTCAGTCGCTCGTTCATGTCCGACTCTTTGCGACTCCATGGACTGCAGCACGCCAGGCTTCGCTGTCCATCACCAACTCCCGAAGCTTGATCAAACTCATGTCCATCAAGTAGGTGATGCCATCCAACCATCTCATCCTCTGTCTTTATACTTTTACTTTATAGTATAAAAGTATATACTTTATAGTGTCTTTATCCTTTTACTTTATAGTATATATTTAAAGATGGTAAAATGTTATTCATTGGATTTCTCGTTTTATTAACTTATCCTAGTTTTTGTTTTGGGTTTTTTTTTTTTTTTTCGATTCTAAACTCAGGGTTCTGGCTTCCTAGTGGTAAAGAATCTGCCTACCAAGGAAGGAGACAAAGGAGAAAGTCTGGAAGATCCCCACTAGGCGCGCACACACAGACACACAGTCACAGACACACACACACACAACACACACATACACACACACATACACACACACACACACACACACACTCGGAGTTCACTGACCGAGATGGCCTTTGTCTGCAGCATTGCCGCTTAGCTCTTGGAAAGTCAAGGAGTAGGGGAATGAACCCTGAGGCTTCCAGCCCTCTGTGCTGTCATTCTCCTCCCTTAAATTATTCAAGGTCCAGTTGAGTGTTTTCTGCTGGAACTTCTGAGCTTTACCACTGCTGCTTTCTTCTCTACTAATTTTATATTTCCCTGTATGACAGCCTTAAAAATTAATTGAAAATATGAGACTGATAATGACTGACAAACAAATATGCAATAAAAACTAAGAGAATATAAACAAAATGCTCCTTACTGTTTCCCATGGGGATGGTCTGTAATATCAAACTGATCATAAACAGAAGCCTAGAATATTTAAAGAAATTTAGTCAGAAATTTACATATGTATAAAATGTAATGCATTCATATACAAATGTATGTATAAATATATATTTAATGTACAATAGATAATTATGCAATCATTTTGTAACTAGTAGATTTTGATTAGTGTTGTCATTCCTTACAAAGATTTTAGGCCAAGCATGTACCCATCCCTTTAAGAGAAGCAACACTAAGCATGCATTGCAGTTTATTCCAGGTTCTTAAACACCCCTCTTGGCTCTAAGACTTAAATGATTCTTGTTCTTACCTAACAGAATGGCTCCAGGTCATTTTCCCACTGACACGTCTGGTATAAAAAAGGCTCCTCTCATGGATACATTGAAGATCAATTCCACGGGACTGAGTCTGAACAGTTTTTGTATTTGAAGATGTCTTTACTGCAGTTACTGGAAGAACTGCCTCAGGATGCAAGATGGATAAGTGCAGAAGACACAGGTGTTTCCTGCTGTCTATCTTGGCCTCTAAATAACTGTGAGAAACAGCGATGCGGTCTCCTCTAGGTTCTGCTGTGCAATGGCTTTGGCAAAGGCTGTGCTGTGACAGGCAGGGTCCAGCACAGAGCCTCGGGGACCATCCCCTCAATGATACCCTGCTAGGGCCAGGGGCGGGGCCTGTGTAGACAGGCTGGTTCTCTTCCCCTGCAGACTTTACAGTGCTGATAGTAGCAGGAGGAGCCAACCCCTAATGTAAAACACTGGGGACTACAAGGCAATAGCCTTTTCCCTTCCTGGAAAAAAAACAAAAAATTATCAATAAAACCTCAACATGAACCAAAAAGTTTTCATGTGGAAATAGAGATGTTATATTGCACACTCCTTGCACTGAGGAGATGGTGAGGGTCCCAGCTAGAGAAGGGAGCTGCTGTGTGGAAAAGAACCAGCTGGCTTGATTCCAAGCCTCAGATGGGGAGCATGAATATAAAAGAGACACATTTCAACACCTTCTTTCTGGGAATGCATTGTATTTTTACAAACTAGGCCTTTTCTCTGTGCCTAGTATAATGATCACTATATCATATTCATCACCCACTTAATACAGGGCCCCTCAGGGGAGGCACTANACCAGCTGGCTTGATTCCAAGCCTCAGATGGGGAGCATGAATATAAAAGAGAGACATTTCAACACCTTCTTTCTGGGAATGCATTGTATTTTTACAAACTAGGCCTTTTCTCTGTGCCTAGTATAATGATCACTATATCATATTCATCACCCACTTAATACAGGGCCCCTCAGGGGAGGCACTATTTTTACCCTCCATATTTTGCTGAGGCAACTGAGGCTTTGAGTTGAAGTCCCAAACCTTTGGCACTTAGATATTTGAAAAACGTGAAATGCACAGATATTATAAGAAAGCTATAGTGTGCTGGGTGATATGGCCCACAATGAGGCAAGCCTTACACTGGGTATCTGAATACCACAGAGCACAGAGGTAAGTGCCTCCTGCTAGTAAAACTATTCACCTCACTGGGACTTGAACTCATGTGCGGGAACTCAAACCCAGCCAAAAGCCACAGTCTTCCAACTGAGTTCACAGACCTGGTTTCAAGACCTAATGACACTCAGGTTTGTGGTTTTTTTTTTAATTGATGGATAATTGCTTTACAGAATTTTGTTGTTTTCTGTCAAACATCAACATGAATCAGCCATAGGTGGACATATGTCCCTTCCCTGGAGGTTCAAGAAGCTCATGTTCTTAATGTCTCATCACAGAGAGAATTTAGTAGAGATGAAGTGATAGGTAAGAAGTGGATTTATTTGAAAAGAAACACGCTGCAGACAGAGTGTAAGCTATCTCAGAAGGAGAGAAGCTGAGTAATTTCATAGGCTAATGAGTGGGAGGATTATTCCAACTATTTGGGGGAAGGGGTGGAGATTTCCAGGAATTGGGTCACCACCCACATTTTGATCTTTGATGGTGGGCCTTCAACTGTCATGGCATCTCTGAGTGTGTCATTACCTTGCTGATGTGTACTGAGCCTATACTGAGGATCAAGGTCTAGTCCAGGTTGACTAGACTTGGACCCATTGGACTCTGTCTTATGCTGGGTCCTCATTCTTTCAAAGGTTGTGCCCTGCCCTCTCCCTGTTTCATTAGTGTCTGATGAGGAGCCTGCTCTGAACCAAGAGGGGAGTGGTTTAGGGGCTTCTTCTGGGACTTGCTAATTTTCAGTTTTTCTAATTGCCAAAATAGGGACTGGGACCCTTGCCTCACAGTACAGAGGATGCTTTGCAACTCTAATACAAATTGTCCTATGATTTTAGTATAAAAAGTGTTTTCCAATAATGATATGTATCCTCCAAAGATGAAATATTCTTTGATACTGATTTAATGTTTTAAACCTTTAAATGGGAAGTTAATTAAAGATGCTGTTAAATAAACTATTAGGAAATTGATGAGCTTGGCTGCCATGAGACCTCCCAAAAGCTGGGTCCTCGAGCTGCAAAGACCAGAACCCACAGATCTGAGCAGGCAAAACATACAGAGGAGGTTGTCTCATGCCTTCATGAAACATTTGTAATGAGAGTCAAGACAAATATACTTTTAGATGTAATGGTTATTTCTTGCTAATTGCATTATTTAGTTATATACAAAAGGAATTACATTTATGACTTTAAGTCAATAGTAACTTCTTTATGAGCAACATGGATTGAACACTAAAAACCATGGGTAAGCTAAAGAATATTTCTTTAAACAAGTTTTAAAACTGTTCAGTTTATAGGATGATATTGAATCCAAAGCTTTCTGATAATATTAAAGTTTTATAAGTATTTTCTAAAATCTACAGTTTCTTTTATTAAATTTTATATTCTCAAACATACACAAAAGCTAAGATATTGAGTCAATAAAATTGAGTTCAGCAGCCAACCATTGCCAATCTTTCCTTATTGTTTTTCTCCCACATTTTTTTTTTTTATGGAGTTTTTTTAAGACAAATCACAGACATCATGATATTTCCCATGTCAAATAAGGTTTTGAAAATGTGTGTCTTACAAATGGAAACTTTAGAAAAAGGAAGGGAAATGTCTTACGAGCAAGATAGGGCTGAGGCTCAATATAAGACCAATGCCCCTCTCTGGGTGTTTGCTTAAGAGTTGAAATCAGCTTTGAGGAGGGAAAGGGCTGAAAGCCTAGGGGTGATAAAACACTCTGACACTTGCTCTCATTTACTTAAAGGTCTTATAAGGGGGCCATTTCAGTAAGAGGAGCCCGGGTTTGCTTAGTTAATACGGCCCTGCTGGAAAGGGCTGTCTGGAAACAGCTGGAGGCGCAGTGGTTGGCAGGCAGATCCCACCACCCCCCTACCAACTCCCCTAAGTTGGGGAAGGTCCATTTTCTTGTTATCAGTTGTAAACAGATAAGACTGGAGCCAGCACTCCCATCAGACTGCTGACACCTTTTGAGTTGACATGAAATGTGTGGGAATTGGAAAACCCTGTCTGAAGACTGGAGACCACCTCATCTCTCTATTTTCAGTACATCAATCACTGAGGAAAATGTTCTCTGCCAATTAGGTGTGAAGGAATTCTTTGGGAGTCACTTTCCAGAGAATCTTTGATGTATACTACTAGGGGTTTCCTGGAAACTCTTAAAATGCACTTAGAGCACACTTCAGCTCCTTTGCTCAGAAACCCCAGGGTATCAGGATTTTTTAAACCTGCCCAGTTCAGTTGTCACTCAGTCATGTCCAACTCTTTGCAACCCCATGTACTGCAGCATGCCAGGCTTCCCTGTCCATCACCAACTCCCTGAGCTTACTCAAACTCCTGTCCATTGAGTCGGTGATGCCATCCAACCATCTCCTCCTCTGTCGTCCCCTTCTCCTCCTACCTTCAATCTTTCCCAGCATCAGGGCCTTTTCCAATGAGTCAGTTCTTTGCATCAGGTGACCAAAGTATTGGAGTTTCAGCTTCAACACCAGTCCTTCCAATGAATATTAAGGACTGATTTCCTTTAGGATGGACTGTCTAAGGAATCTCCTTGCAGTCCAAGGGACTCCCAAGAGTCTTCTCCAACACCACAGCTCAAAAGCATCAATTCTTCAGTGCTCAACTTTCCTTATAGTCCAGCTCTCCATACATAACTACTGGAAAAACCATAGCCTTGACTAGACAAACTTTTGTTGGCAAAGTAATGTCTCTGCTTTTTAATATGCTATCTAAGTTGGTCATAACTTTTCTTCCAAGGAGCAAGTGTTTTTTAATTTCATGGCTGCAGTCACCATCTACAGTGATTTTGGAGCCCAATAAAATAGAGTCTGTCACTGTTTCCATTGTTTCCCCATCTATTTGCCATGAAGTGATGGGACC